ATCCCAGCTAACCCATGCATGTGGTTTTTTCTTTTTTTGGGGGGGCGGGGGGTTTGTTTTTTATACTGTATATATTTGTTCTTAATTTCTTTAAAAGATACATAATTGCTTAAAGCAAAAAGTATTAAATTATAATGATGGACATAAAATATGTGTTGATAAAATTTATATGATGATAATAGCATAAAGGTGATTAAATAGAACTATACTGTTGCAAATTTTCTATTTTTTACTGGATGTAGTTCAATATTACCTTAAGTAGATTGTGAGAAATAAAAGATACAGGTTTCAATTGTTACAACAATAAAAATCAATGCAAATATACATAGCTAAAAGCCACTAGAAAAATTATAATCATAAACTAAACAATATTTGCTTGAAACAAAGTAAAAGAGAGATGAGACTATTTGAAAGCAAATAGCAAAATGATAGACCAAAATCCAACCATAACAATGATCACATTAAGTACTAATTGACTATACAAATAAATATATAGTATACATGTAAATATATAAAATTCTAATGGAAAGGTCGATACTATCAGTTGGATAATAATCAAAACAGACTATATGCTACTACAATATAAACACTAAATACAAAAACAAAAATAGGTTGAAAGTTAGTGTGGAAAAATATGCCATGTAAATAGAAAGTGTAACAAAACTGGAACGGTTGTAAAAAGTCCTTAAGAAAGGATTTTTTAGAATGACAATAAATCAGTATCACAAGAAGACATAACTTGTTGGTAACACCAAGGTCAGGGGTTCGGATACCTGTACTAGCCAGCTGCCAAAGAAAAAAAAGATGACATAGATAATAAATGTATAATAAACACCTAATTACAAAGCTTCAAAATAGGTGAAGCATTAACAAGCAGAACTGAAAAAGAAATGTACACATTAATAATTATATCTGAAGATCAGTACTGCTCTCTCATTAATAGATAGAACAAGTAAACAAAAACCAGATAAGTATACAGAAGACCTAAACCACACTATGAGCCAGCTTAACCTAATGGACATGTATTGAGTACCACACCCAATAAGAACAGAATGGATTTTTTTTTTTTCAAGTGCATGTGGAACATTCACCAAAGTGTAACAGCAGGATCCCCTATTTTTGATAATGTTTGATCTTTTCCCCGTAGGGCTGGAGCAGGCCTCAGCCTTGGAGGAAGTTTGCAAGGCAAACTTGCTGACTGACTCCCCAGAAATAGGAATACGCTTGTCTGGCAGTATATAAGATGAGCATAAAGGCTAGTGTATTAGTCCATTTCTGTTGCGTGTAACATAAATAACTGAAACTGGGTGATTTATAAAGAAAACAAAATTTATTGCTTACAGTTTTGGAGGCTGGGAATCCAAAGTCCAGGGAACACATCTGGCGAAGGCCTTGGTGGTGACAGTAATGCAGGGGTCTCACATGGCAGAAAACGGCAGAGCAGAGAGAGCCCATGTGTGGTTTAAAACTAAATTTGTGGTAATTTGTTACACAGCACAGAGTATTAATACATAGGTCATCTTATTCATGAACATAGATACAAAATCTTGAACAAAATGATTAACAAGTAGAATTCAACAATTCATGAAAATGATACTACATCACAAACAAGATGAGTTTATCCAATTATACTACATCACAAACAAGATGTGATTATCAATAATTAACCACAATAACAGAATAGGGAATAAAAATCTCATTATTACCTAGTTTATCCAAGGAACAGAAGATTAGTTTAATATATGATTATCAATAATTAACCACAATAACAGAATAGGGAATAAAAATCTCATTATTACCTTAATAAATACAGAAAAATCCGATTATATTCACTATCCATTCGTGATTACAACTCTTGAAAAACTATGCCTGCAAATATCATAGTTAATGGTGAATTATCCAAAGCTTTCCCTCTGAGTTGAGTTAAGGAATGAGCCAAGGATACCTGCTTTTACTACTTCCTCCAACATTTTACTGGAGGTCCCAGCTAGTTAAAAAGGTAAAAAAAATTAAAAAAAAAAATAAAAACCAAAGAAAAAACAAAAAAGGATTGGAAAGAAAAAAAATTAACTTTTTTTTCGTGGATGAATGTTTAAAGAAAATCCAAGGACCTATATAAAATTAGACTTAATTACATAAGGTTAGAAAGTTTCATGGATATAAGATCAATACATGACAATTAATTGTATTTTTACCTACCAGCATCAAACATAAAGTGAAAATTTAAAAAGACCCTATTGAGAAGGAGAAACTAAAGACTTGGGGTGGGATAGCTTCACTGACAAAAGGAGCAGGGTTACAGGATTCAAGTCCTACAGAACCACCACTGAGGTGACTTCAAGAGACACTTCTGTAAATACACCACAAATATCAAATAGCTGCGAGAGATGGAAACTCTAGTTCCCAGGATCCCTCGTCCAGGTGTCAAAGAATGATTATTCTCGATGTCTCTGTGTAGCCTGAGTAAACACTCACGTCTGTCCTTTTCTTTTTTAACCATTCAGATGTAAGTGGAGATGCATACTATGAACTCTTCAGCACCTTGCTTTTTTGACTTACTAGTACTATATACCTTGGCAAGAAATCATATTAGCAAAGATATCTACTACATTCTTTTTTAATTTTTTAGTTTGAATAGTTTCAAACTTACAGAAGAGTTGCAAGAATAGTACAAAGAACTCTGGTGTACCTTCACTCAGATTAACCAATTGCTGGCATTTGGCTGCGTTTGCTTTATATTTGCTTTATCACCCCCTTCCCTTCCTTCCTCTTGTATTTGTGTGTTTCCTGAACTGTTTGAGAACAGGTTGCAAATATCATGCTTCTTCACCCCTAAACACTTCAGTGTGTATTCCCTAAGAACAAGGGCATTCTCTAGACACAGTATAATTTTATCAAATTCAGAAGATACAACATTGATACAGAGCTATTTGTATATAATCCATATTAATATTTCATCAATTGTTCCACTGGTGTTTTTTATAACAATTTTTTTTTCCTGATCCAAGATCCAATCCAGGATTAGGCATTGCATTTAACTGTTTCATTTCTCTAGTTTATTTTTAATCGGGAATAGTTCTCAGCCTTCTTTATCTTTCCTGACATTAACATTTTTGAAGAGTTTAATCTTTTATTACCTCCTTTATTGTACTTGCCGCAGAGTTGAGGAAAGGAAAACTAGGTTGAGCCTAAAGGCTCTTTACCTAGTCCCTCTAGTTGTTTAGTTGGCTCAACACAACCAAGTAAGCTTAAAGGAAGAACAGGCTGGCACCAGCTTTGGAGCTCCAGAGGCTCCCCTTTCTATCAAGACCACTTCTTCCATCAGGCTGCGTTCACTGTTACGTGCTTGTATACATTCTCTGATCATCACCATTTCCACCTAGATAGAGCATTCTGAGGGTGGGGTTCCCTTTCTAATGAAGTGCTTTCTTAAGCATAGTTCTCTGTGGAGAACAGAAGATCGTGTGTGCTCTGCTATCTCTCAGCTTATAAATTCTTCTGTAATCAACCCTGTGTGGCACTAGTAGTGTACATTTGTTTCTGTCCTCCCTTGCAGAATAGTTGGTGACCACGAGGGCAAACTCAATGCAATGAATTTTGGAAGCAGCAAAATCCCACCGCCCCCGTCCCCAGGGCGAGCGAGAAACATTCCCTCGAGGATCCCAGGAGTGATGCACTCACTGGGAGGGAGGAATAAGTGCCCAAAGTGGGCAGAGTTGCCATGTTGTCCACTAACTCAGTGGAGGTAAATCTTCTGTTCATGCGTGTGTATGTATGTAATATATCCATACACAAGAGAAACTGAGTGATGGAGGAAGAGGTTCTATA